GTTCCATGTGAATAAATAAATCTTTAAAAAAAAAAATACGGTCTTAGAAACAAATTTAAGAAACAGCAAAATAAGTAGAAACACTACTGAGGACCTAGGAAAAAGGGACCCGCTCAGGGTCAATTTTACTGCAAACTATGAAAGTGAGGAGTGTGGGACGTAGAGGAGATTTGTGGTCCAACCCGCAGGGACAATCAACTGTAAGACACAGGAATAATCTGAGGTGTGAATTTATATCCCTAAATCATATGCATATGCAGTGTTGCAAATCAGTGTTACCTCAAATTAAAACACGCATACACACAACCGGTGGAGGATAATAATCTGGTGCAAATCCACAGGCATCTTTCAAAATTTCAGCTCCGATGGAGTTGGGCCCAGTGACTAACAGGTGTTTCTCAGTCCACGTACTTACCAACTTGAGTGAACTGAGGGATTAGATCTAGAACTTACCACTGACTCCTAAATATTCAGCCTTCCCATCCCTCTAATTCCAACTGTTGACATTTCCTGGGTCATTAAGGTTGTGATCCTCACTTTTTCTTAATATAAAATTTAAAAATTCATACATTTGGGGTGCTTATTAAGTATTCTATTCTTAATTTTAAAATGCCGAGTTGAACATTTTATATTTAAAAACTTAAATTAGGCCCTCCCTGGTGAGAATTAAAGCACAGCACGAAGGAGCTAAAGCCACTTCAGCATGAGTTTGACCCCTGCCCCGGAGGTGACCACATGGCGCAGCAGACCTCTCCTGACCCTCCCACTGCTCCCCTCAGCAGTGTACTTTGTTGGTGTGCCTGTTCTGCTCCCCGCTCTGTCTCTGGTGAATCCTCTCACCGCCCCTGCACCTCTGGCCTAGTCTCCAGTTCTGTATGCATAAATAAATAAATCTTTTTTAAAAAAAAAATCAATCGGTAATATGGTATCCCACAGAGAAAAATAAGATCTCCACTATAAAATGAAAATGGGTTGTAAAAAATCTCTGTCCCCAAATAAATCTACATGTGCTCAGTGTTGCCGCTGCTTTCCAAAGGTTTTCTTCACTCTGAATAGTGAAGAAAACGGCAGTTTTCACTAGGAACATTCTCAATCAACACAATAATTAAAGTTTTAATTTTGTAGTTTCATTTTACCTTCCCACTATCACCACCTCTCCACTGTCCCCACAAACCTAGTTAAAAAGTAAAAATAAAATCTACGATGTTATTTGAGTTCAAAAAGTGTTGTAGTTTATAAAACCAACAAGGTCCTTTTGCATTTTATTACCTCCCTGAGCGCCTGTCAATTACACGAAGCTGTGAGTAACGAGTGGCAAGAACACAGTTCCAAGGTCGGGAAGTTTTATTTTCGGGGGAACATGTCACATGGTAAAAAATTAAAACGCTAGAGTAAAACACAAGCACACAAAACAAATGGCATACAGGTAGACAAGATACTTTTTCTGACACAGTAATTCTTAACTCTTGCCTGGAATTCGCATGTCCTTGGCCAGTCGTCGTCTGTGTTGGTCTGACCGGGACCTGCCGCGCGGCCTCCCGGGCCGGCCAGACCCTTCCGCTGCACAAGCTGCAGGGCCTTCGTTGGTAGTAAAAGGAATACCTTGCAGGGGCTTCTGGGAGAATTAAGGGGTTCAGCTTAGTGAAAATTCCAGTTAACAAAGGGTTTAATTATGTAGCTGGAAATAATCTGTGCAGGATTTAAGCCCCTCTTCTCATTCTCTCAAACTTCCAAGTTAACCAACAGGGGCTTGGCTGATGGCTACAAGCCACATAACCAAGTATACAAGAGAGAAAATTTTTCTAGTTCTCAAAGTGTTAGAATATTAAATCATTTGGCTTTCTCTTCAATAATTTCAACAAAGTCCAATCTGCTTTTATTTTTTCCAAATTTTACATTGTTAAAGGAGTACACTGAGATTCTAAGTGGATGGAGTTATGAATTATTAGTTCCCCTTTGTTAAATAGAAGCCTTAAAAAAATCTTTGAATTCCAAATTTCCACTCTGACACGTCTTTTACTATAATTTCAACGTACAGTTCTGTTTGGCACACTACACATATATTAGATCAGATATTAGATGAGAAATGTTCCAAGGCATCTAACTGGGTAGAAGGAAAAAAGGAGGACAAAAGAGACAAAAAGAAGAGCCCTAATTTTTATGCTGTCTCCATAGAAAATTTCAAATTGTTTTCTTTCTATATAGAAACAGTGTTTTTCAAAAGGAAACATAATTATATCTTGGGGAAATCATGGGTTTTAGTAAATGACAAAAATACTGGTATATTGTAACCACAAGGTGGTGCTATAGCTCCACGCTAGAACTGACAAGTTTTTCACTTGTTATGTCGTGAATTTTTTACATTTTCATAGTTGAAAAAGTTAATTGTATTCATTAGTTCTAAAAACACTGAAACTCGACTAAACTCAAGGTTCTATGCTTATTTCGAAAGTTCATAATTTTAAAGTCTAATGACTGAATGCACGTTAAGATACACAATACTTTTCTTAAGTCACTTCTACCCAGAATTACAATTTAGTATTACTGTTTTATCTGTGACAAATATAAAGTTATACATATAATATAAACAGCTGAATAAATAAAACAGTCTGATGAGTTGCATATTAAAAAAAACCTACCCCTTTTTTCCTTCCAAATAAATAAAGGAATCAAGATTGGTTACCCACAATTACTATTATCACATTTGGAAAGTTTAAAAGAATGATAACTTATCTAAAAATTTAAAAACGAACTCCATTTTTCCCTTGATTTAACTTTCTCTAAGATTGTGGTATCTCCTCTTTCCAGAAAAAAAGCGTAACTTCACATCACTTACTGAAAAAACTTCCCTGCGTCGTGCAGCCCCACGGGCACCATCTGCCCGGGCTGCCAGTCTGTGAGGTGTCACAGACCAGGGCACGAGAAACTCAGCGCTTTTCACAATGAACTTTCTGACCTGCTTCCGAGTACAAGAAGAGACTCATACCCTGCCTTCCTCAGTGCTAAGTGAAAACGTGTTGCTGCTTTTTGACCAGGCGGGAAACAGCTGTCTTTTGTTCTATTTAATGTCTAACTTTTCACTGCAGCGGGTTGGTCAGGACAGGTGAAAGGATGGTCTGATGTCCGGGAGCCTCGTGGGGACAACGGGCGCCCCAGCTGGAGGCCTGCCAGCAGGACGGAAGCCTCCAGCCTGTGCTTTAAAAACATATTCCTCAGCACACTGCCAACAAATGTCAACACAAAAATACAGTACTCTACTGACTTCACTCCATAAAAAATGTAGTTTTCCTAAGAGAGTCAAGTGGTATAATAATGCACAAAAATATTTAAGCGTTTACTCCATACTGAAGGAAAGGTCCATACGCCAAGTGGAGCTGAACAGCAAAAAGTACTGTGGTCTATTAAATTATGGCAAGAATCCTTAAAACATACAACATGTACAGACGCCAAAGTCCCATAGAAGTTCATGCAGACAATTTTATAATTAGTGATTTGGGCATTTCAGTAACTCTGCAGTTTCTTCAAACCTGCAATGTAATAAATAATATTCATTACTCATGAGGCATAGGATTATTGAAATTGTACTTATGAATCTAAAATAAGCTTCAATTTTTTCTTATTTATAGGGGCAGTCGATGTTAATAAATTAGTTATAACCAGAGGGGGAGGGAAAAAAGAAGAGTCAATTTTGAGTCTTTTTCATTCTTGGACTAAGTTATTTCAGTTACTTTTCAAATTTTAAAATATATATATACTTTTATAGTAGACTACATCGTAATCTTATATACAGATTCATTTCATTTGACTTTTCCATTGTTCTTTAATGAAATCATGTAATTTCATATTTCTACTAGATGAAAAATGTCATTTGTAATATTGCCATACCAATAACTTTCTGAAAACTAGTGATACCTTAACAATACTTCAAATGTTCCCAAACCATGCATCTATACATATTATTTAATATTTTGATAAATCAGTTATTAAAAACAGATGACAGTCTTGATTAACTATCACCCCGAAAGGATCCCTGTGCTCTTTAATCCGTGATTAACTCCACCAACAATGTTTAACATCACTTGCTGGAAACCAAAACAGTGACTCATCTTACAAACACACAACTATAGGTGGATTTATTATCCACCCGAGTGCTGAAGGAAATTCCACACCTGATTGCGAGACCTCTAAGGTCTGAAACACACATGCACGTTCTACGTGCCCCGCAACCAATCCAATTCCCCACAGAGAAATGAATTTCTGTTGCCCCTCTGCGTTACTTACATTTTTTTCATCCTTTCCATTCTCTGGATTGTTGTTTCCTTGAATTTAAAAAGCAACAAATTTAGGAGACTTTGCAAAGTAAGCCATTACCAAAGAGGGACTATGAATATATAAAACAGTCTAAAACACTGCATTAAGCACTGTTTACTTATCACAAAGAATTTTTATAGAGATTAAGATTTATACAGTTTCACTATTTTTCTTGCCAATGGCATGTACCACTGAATCTAATGTGGGCTTGTTCTCCTGACCTAGAAAGGAAATTATCTAAGCAGCTGCCAGGTTTTCCTACCTCTGAAATCTCTCTCAAGCCACAGTAAGTAAGAGCTGAGTTTTGGGGAGTCCACACTGCTGAACTGGGACCGTAACCAGAGGACAGAGTTGGGCCCGTTTGGCTCCCCTCGTCGTTTTTCTTGTCTGTGGAGAAATTAATTTGTAGTTAATTTCGCCTTTGACAGAGGAGGTACTTTACCTGGAAAATATTATGGAAATATGGTAGAAAAACAAACACATCATTTTAATATGAAATGGCTACTAGCATAGATCCAGATGAGTTTTTAATACTCTTAAGTCAGTGACTTACATATGGAGAGCTAGCTGTTAAAGACTGGCCCATACAAATAACAAATGGTAATATCTTTATCATGATAGCCAGCAACAGAATAGACTGGCAAGTTAATAATATTTTTAAGTATAAGATGCTGACTCATGTATATTCTTTTCTTCAAATGGTGGCATTTTTTCCTTGGGGTTTTTTTTTTTTTTTAAAGATGTATGTATGCACACAGAACTGGGGTAACAAGCCAGAGGTGCAGGGGCAGTGAGAGGATTCACCAGCAACAGAGTTGGGGAGCAGAACAGGCAGACTGATGGAGTACACTGCTGAGGGGAGCAGCCCACAAGCCAGGAGAGGTCTGCCGTGCCATGTGGGTCACCTCTCTGGTGGGGATGGAACTCATGGTGAAGTGGCTTTAGTTTCTTAGTGCTGTGCTTTAACCCACTGCACCACCAGGGAGGGCCTCAATATATGCTTTTTTAAAATCAAGAAACAGGGCCTCAGTGCTGCAACAGGTTAAAGCTCAACACTGCAGTACAAGTTCCATCCCGGCCAGGGAGTGACCCACAGGGCGCAGTAGCCCTCTCCTGTCTCTCTGCCCGCTGCTCCCCTCAGCAGTGTGTTTCAGTGGATCCACCTGTTCTGCTCCCCACTCTGTCTCTGCTGAATCCTCTCAGCACCCATGTCTCTGGACTGTACTCCAGCTCTTATAAGCATAAATAAAAGAAATCTTTAAAAATTAAACAAAATCTTTAAAAATTAAAAAAATCTGAATGAGATGTGCATATGGGAAACATGCTTAAAATTCAAGGTACATAGATTTCCTTTTTAAAAGAACTGAACAACTTTCTATTTCCAGTATCCTGATAGGATTCCTTCCACAAATGACGGCAAATCTTTCCTACAACTAAGTCAAGCACAGACCACCGTGGGAATGCTCCTGTGGCTTCTACCCCCAAGTCCTGCTTTAGTCACAGTACACTTGGCTGCAAAACAAAAGGTGCAGAAGAAAATCACACACCCACGTAAGCTGGTTAGCGTCAAGGCAGCACGCTGCAGAAGTCTACTCAGACAGCCTCAACTAGGGAACAGAGTCCTGCCTCCTGCCGGATACACCACGAGAGAGGATTCCATATCTCCCTGTTTTGGGGAGCTTCTCTTTGGGCTGCTTCTCTCGCCTCTGGCTCCCTTCCTGTGCCTACACATCAGTGTCACCTTGGCCGAATGGCCAGCCCAGGGCTCTACATCATTTAACTGACTCACTTTTGATGTCCTAATTCCCATTTTCTAAAAGAGAGAAAACGATGTGCCTCGACACTCTTTCCAGGCCCTCCCTGGTGGTGCAGCAGGTTAAAGTGCAGCACCGCAAGCTGGCCACATTCTCTTTGGTACCAGTTCGATCCCCTGCCCTGGAGCTGACCCACATGGCACAGCAGACCTCTCCTGCCTTGCCTTTAGCTCCCATCAGCAGTGTAGTTTTTCGATCTGCCTATTCTGTTCCCCACTCTCTCTCCTCTCTCTGGTGAATCTTTCACCACCCCTGCATCTCTGGCCTGTACCCCAGTTCTTTATGCATAAATAAATCAATCTTTAAAAAAAAAAACCTCTTTCTAACAGTGTTCCTTACACTGGGCGACCCAATTAGCTGGTGGCTGGAGTCGCATGGCCCAACTTTGAGGGGCAGTTACACCCAGCTCTTTCACCCAGGGGCGTTGGGAAATTGTCATTTTAAGAGTGATTTGAAAGTAGGCAGCAACTAGAGCCACTGTGCCCTAATCTTGAGTCTTCCCCGTAAATAAATGCAGCTGCCCGCTGACGATCATGAACATTTCTTATGCCGTCCAAAAGCAGGAGAGGCACAGGAACTGGGCTCAGGGGAGCACAGGAACTGGGAAGAGGGGACGGAAGGGAGCGCAATGGCTGCCACGCTGCCTGCAGGACTTGGTCTCGCTTGTCTGTCAGCCTCGCTGGAGGGAGAATCTTGTGGTGGGAGAAAGCCGGTGCCATGTGTCCCGGGGAGGGCCTTCGCTCTGCGTGGGCCATGGAAAGCACACCGGCCACTCGACAGCAGCTTCAGGAGAGTGCATGGTGCCTCTGCGGCCATTTTCCCGAGTGCTTCCCGGAGCTGGTGGCCGAGCCTCGTTTTAGATCCTTCCAACTATCACCAGTGAACTGTTCAAGTGCAAGAGCTCTGTAATATTTTACATTACTGACAAATGTGTTTTTCTTTTCTTACATATATTACGTAAGTGAAAGCTAGTAAACTTTGGAGGTCATTTTCATTATTTTAGAGCACTAAGCAATTATAAAAGTAGAAGTGGGGCCTCCCTGGTGGTGCAGGACTTACTCTTTGCACTATTGACTACTGCCAGCCACTGAGTCGTGAGTTCAGTCAGGGTGCAGGAGGCCTCTCACCTCTCCTATCTATCTGCTGCTCCCCTCAGCAGTATATTTCCATCAGTCCACCTGTTCTGCTCCCCACTCTGTCTCTCACACTCCCCCCATACCTCTGGCCTACACCCAATTCTTATATGCATAGAATAACTGTAAAAATGCTCCAGAAATATGTACTTTAGTACACTGGAATTTCTTCCACCACTGTATCATGTAAGATATGTAAGCTGTTGTCTTTAGCAATCCTTGGCTTCATTAGTCTAGAAGGCACTAGTTTTTTTGTTCCTACATGTTTTGCAGTTTCTAAAAAAAACTAAGGCTTGGGAATATCAAAATACCAATAAAAATCACTTCTCTAAAAACTCCTTACCAAACTACCAACAACATCAAAAACTTACCAGTATTCAGATTTTTGAGGTCACAACTAAAAGCGTAGTCTTCACTTGCCTCATTAAGTTCCATAGATTTGTCATTCTGAAATAAAATAACTTAGACGTTAGAATGAAATGAAAATGGTTCTCATTTTATATCCTTACTGCTAAACATAAAATATAAAGATAGTATGATAAATGTTTAAGCATTTTTTACTATTTTATTTATAAAAACAATACAGAAACAGCCTTCTATGTGTGAGAAATAATCTTCAATGTGGGCACAAACAGCAAGCGTCTTTGAACTACCAACTTTACTTCTAGGAAGGAAAGCGAGAGCGGGACCAGGAAATTGAAACCCTAATAAATCAAGAAACACATTTTTCAGATTTGACAAGGTAATGAAAATTTTGGTAACTGTTCCCATGAAATCTGTAACTTGACTGAAGTAAATGAATGAAAAAAGAAATGAAAATTTTAATTTTTCCCCTCTTGCCAACTTTTCTTTATGAAAACACATCTTTTGTGCTGCTGAAGACTATAAAGTAATCTCAAGCTTTTCATAAACAAAATCAAATACTTCATTTTAAATACTGCAAGTATTAACAGCTTTTAAGATCAATTTATAGGTTTGCCAAACGTTCTTATCTGAAAGAGACCAACAGCTACCACAATGAAACAGGCTGGATCTGTACTGGACTTCATTCCCACTAAATGCTCTCCCATGACCTAAATATTCTCTTATTTAATATTTAGAAAAGAAAACAGATAATAATGAATAAAAGGAATGCTACATTGTATCTATATAGAGATCTATAAATATAAAGAAAATACCTTCTTAGACAAAAGCAATTCTGTTTCAAGGAGAGTGACACGACTCAGAAGATTAGTCCAAGTCCTTTCATTTACCATCACTTTCCCTTTCATCTTCTCCTCCAAAGAATCTAATCTACTTTCTATCCAACTCAGTTTCTGAAGCTTCTCTTGGCATTCCGCAAGCACAGTCTGGAGAGCTGCAAACTCAGGATTAGCTTTTAGATCCTGAAATTGGAAAGAGCACAAATAACATGGAAACTGGGATTCCTTTACAAGTCACTGTGTCCCCATTTCGTTTTTGCTGTTGCAATAGTAACAAAAGACAGTGTAACATGAGGGCTAAGTTTTGCTGGAGGTAGTTAGGTATTGCTGTCTCTCTGACACTCACACTACTTGCTCATTTGAAATGTATGACCCTCTATCATTTCAATTTCCTCATCTAAAAAAATGATAAGGTACCAACAGCACCTCCTTCATATGGTTTGAGTTCTGGCATAATGCAACTAGGATAATACCAGGTGATGTGATAAAACTATCACTAACCACTAGCTTATGGTAACAATGCCTCAAGCAAAACAAAGAAGAAATGACTGAGAAAAATGGCAACAGATTGAGACTGTGCAATTTCCTAGAAACACGAAGTAAGGCTCATGGTATCTGATCGGCTGCATGAATGCCAAGTATATGCTGACACGTACAGAAGTCACATAACATAGAAGGCGGGAAAAGGAATCAGAGCAGAAGCAGCAGAGACTAACCTCCAGTGAGATCTGTGGCAATAAAGTAAAAAAAAAAAAAGTATTCTGAGAGAGGAAGAAAAAGCATGGGCCCAAAATGGGAAATGAAAAGGCAGTGGTGAACCAATTTGCCATTCAACCACAGAGGGAGGAGGTGACAGAGAAGCCTGAATGTACAGAGTAGCAGATCTCCATCACGTTCACTGAATCATACATTCCCTGAAGCCAAACGCTGTATCTTATACATCTCTGCCATACCATAACACCAAGCTCAGGATCCAAAACATAAGCAGCAAACAGACATAAGCAGTCTGTTGAGTTATATTCAGTAAAACTTCTTGATTCTTAAGTTCTGGTAACAAAGTAATGTGTCATGATTAATGCTTGACAGGGCTAGCAATAATTCAAATTTTAGACACTGAATAATCATATCCATCACAGTAAGAAATATTTTTATCTAGTAAGTCCTTTAACTTGTTGCTTACTTACTACTCAGACTTACTTGTTGCTCGGACTCAATTTCAGGGACCTTTACTTCAGGAATCTTTATTTCAGCAGGCTTTACGTCACATACTTCAAACGCTTCATTAACGTCTGTTACTGTACTTAATGTGTCCTCGGGAATGTTACCTCCATCTTCATTATACAGGTGACGGATCACCACAGCTTTCTTCTAGAGAGAGAAGAATATGTCAGAGTTACTTCATTGTCTCCTCACACAACCATTTTCAGCATACATGGACTATATTTGCAAAAGGAATATCCTGTAATCATCATATACACTGCAGACATCAAAAAAATATACACTGTTATTAATATTTTGTGTGATAATGAAATGGTGACTATGATTTTTTAAAGTGTGACTATATTTTAGATAAATTTTGAAATACCTATTTTGTGATTCTGGTATTTGTTTCAACATGTGTTCTGATTTGCGGGAGAGATGTTGGAAAGTGTATCCATAATGATGAAACAAGATTAGCAAAGCAGGTGTTGATAAATCGCTGGAACTGGAATGTGTACTTTTGTGTTTGAAATGTCCCAGAAGAAAGGTATTTCTAAAGGTTACCAAGTCTCACAGCACGAGTTGGCTCTATTAGCAGGACTTACCACAATTTTTGTCCATTAAACAAACCACATAGTAGCAGACGTTCAGCTAACAAACTGAACACGGACAATGAGAAGACCCTGAGAGGAAGGTCAAACTCTCCATGCAAGACTTCCATTCACTTGCTTTTTCAGAGTCTGTGCAAGTGGCATAAGGACCACGTATGACCGGGAAGTCACAAGTAGCAGCAGTAAAGCAAACACTTTGCTTCAGTTGTCACCTAATTTTTTGCCAACAAACTCCAACTTTTAAAAATTGAAATACTTTTAAGGTGTAAACACACTTTTCACATTTAGAAATTGATGTCATTGATAAAACTTTGTTTTAAGGTGAAAAACAAGAACTATATCTTGAAATTTAGCTTCTTTGTTAGTACAATTTAGAGTACCCCTCAAACCCATGATAAAAAAGACTGAAGAATTCATGTCGTTTTAGCAACTCAGGCTTAATAAATACTTACACAGTGTACCTAATTCTGGGCTAAGCAAAGTGAAGAAAAAAAAAAAAACAGTGTAAGAAACTCCCTGATTATATATATTTGAAGGAAGGAAGGACACAAAACATACGTGACCTAACAATTAGAAAATAAAATTGTACAAGAATTAGATAAGTCAGATGCAAGGATTAGAGAACCATGAGCATTTGAACAAATGGCCCTTATAATCCTTTCCTTATTGTCTTCATTACTTGAAGCAAAAGAGGCATATTAAATAAGTTATTAACATAAACTGTTTTATAAAACAAAATATCACTATTTTTCATAAAGGCATAAAAGCCTATTTTTCTAACAGATTCTGCTTATTTAACACATGTATTCTGGATCGGTGAGAAATAACTCTCTAGATTTAACTTCAGTCAGAAACTGTTCACATCCTTCACTAACTACACTCTCATTATTTATCTGGCATTATAACCTTAAATCTCAGAAGGGGTTTACCCCAGATAGAAAACAATAGAAAGCATAGTGTCATAATATAATCTTATATATTATATATATAATATACTACAAAGAAGCCATAGTGTCATAATATAATGTTATATGTTGTATATATATTACGAAGAAGCCATAGTGTCATAGTATAATATTTTAGAACCGATTTTCTTTGAAGATAAAGTATTCCCACCTCTCTGGATTCAGAGGGGTCAGTGCTTGAAACAGACAGCGGTGGAGAAGATGTTGACCAACAAAGAGGCAATTTCAAAATCTAAACTCAAACCCAGATTCTATGCATAAGGACTATCAAGCATTAGTAATTCAGACTGATATGGAACTATAAACGTACATAAAATGAATCATCATAACCTATCACTAGAACTAGTAATAGACTCTTCAGATGTTCTCAGGTTTTAGGAAGCTGGATACCTACTTAAGAAAATTCATGACTGTATATTAAAACCTTCATAAATAATCACTATTTTGAGAAATGAGGGGAAATCAGGAATAAAAAGAGAAAGCTCATTCAATCTTTCACTTTTATTTTTTGAACTTCTAAGAATGTTCTCCAGACAGTATGTGGTATGATTTGTTGAAAATCTTTACTTTCTAATATCCAACTGGAATGTTTTATCAGATGTCCGTCAGAAAAGTGGACTCTATGTATTAGGTAGAGAACTCTTGAAACTGTAAGACACATTGTATTTTCCTACCTTTCCTGAAGTCAAAAACCTGCCAGTGATGTCAATGCCAACAGGTTCTGCAGATATTTTCTCAATGCTTGAAGAAGGTTCTGGTTTATTAAAACTGATTTTCTTCCTTTGTTGTAGTGGAATCTTAAAAAATTAAGAAATAATATATTTTTATCTGCAAGTTGACTATAATCATTAAAATTTTCATGTGTGAAAAACTGAAAGATTCTTATATGAAATATAACTTCAAATAGTGAGAGCCTAGGAAACTACATGCCTTGAAACTAAAAAGCAATAAACACACATAACATGTTTGAACAGTTTAGGAGAAGTAACTCTAAATCACAAATGTGCAAAAACAAGTTTAAACATATTTCAAACAAACTTCAGGCATTATAAGGCTATCCGAACCTGCAGAAAAGTAGCAATTGTATAACATGCTAACTGTTGTCTATGGTGTCGATTTTATACATTAAAATGCCGAGTTACCTATTAGCAAAAGCTACCAGTAAAATCTACTGTAAAATTACCTTCTCCAGACCACATAACTCCTTGTGCTTTTTCATCACACAATTCAAAACGTCACAAACAATTTGGATTTTCCATTCCGCAAATCCACACTGGAGAAACTGCTTTTTGGTCAAGATTGGTTTATAATTAAATTGATCACGAAGAAGCTATAAAGAGGGAATAGATCAACTTAAAAGCAATTTTTTCCTAAATTCCAAAGCAGCCATATGGTCAGGGGTACAATGACATCTTTAATGGGAGAGGAGGATCATTTCATTAACCAAGGAGCACTAAGAAGATCTGCAGGAATGGTGTAGGTCATGACCACATAGGAGGCGACCAGGCAGAAAACAGGCAGGTAGGCATGTAACAAGAGTACAGAGGACTATTCAGAGCGTAGGGAAATGCAGCTCATCCTAAACAGTGAAAATACTCTGAGAGGTAACCATAAGGTCATTACAGATGAACAGATCCCAGAATACCTCACCAGCTGTCAGAGCCACAGTTCTGCTTAGAGATTCTTTAACATTCCTCACTGGCTGGTTTTTAGACAGGGCAGTAGGCCTCTTTGTTTCAATGTCTCATTTGTATAACCAGAGAAATAACTAGATCAGTAATTTTCAAAATCTACTCTGTAGAGTGCTAAGATTTCTTAGAAGTGCCTCTTAGCTTCCAGGGAAGCTTTCTAAGGTGAGAGACAAAGAAAGGGAAGATTAAGCGAAGACTCTATATATAAAAACTGGTGTTCTGTCAAATGATCTCTCAACAACAACAAAAGATCTCATTTTGCTAAATGGGCTTTACTATTTTAAAAATTTATCCAAAATAGTTGAGCAAAAATTAATGACAGCAAGCAGGGATTTTCAAAATAAAATGAAATTAATTTCAATATATATATAGTGGACAGATGTTGACATTACAGTAGATACAAACAAGGGTTAGACCTCAAGGAACAAAATATCTCAGTCAAAGTCGCAGCTCTTCTTTACACACAACTGAAGTGATTCATAATTACTTTTTGGATAACACAGTCTAATCATTATAATCATATTTCCTTCCAACCTGTTCCAGTACACTGAAATTTTATATAAAAAGAGCAATTGATGGAGAGCCACTAACATAATTTACTAGTTTACTAGTCACATTTACTAGTCACATTTAGTAAAATTGAATTATATCTTGAGTGCCACAGGGTCTGAGTTAAATGACATTAATGCATAAGAAAGTACTTGTCAACTTTATTTGCTATAGATATTTAAGGAATTACTAACACAACCTTAAAATACCATTCAATGACTTTTAACATAATGGTTTCATAAAATTGAAGTACCTTATAGACAGTATCTACAAAGCGCAAGTCAGTCTTTGCTATGAGCTCCACATTGGCTTCCACCAGGAGTTCTGCTATATAAGGTGAATATGAGGTAAAGGAATAGCTGATGATGGGCAAAAAAGCTGCTGTATCTCCTTTAACCAAACTGTTAGGATAATAAAAAAAAAAGAAAAGAAAAGAAAAAGATTTCAAATGAGCTTCATTCTACAAAGCTAGATAATCAAGAAAATAGTAGAACACTTGTTGATAATTTATATTATAGCTACAATCATTACCTGATGCTCAAGACTCTACATTCCATCCCTTACTCTGAACCAGTCTAGCAAATTTACTATGAGACTATTGTCCTAGCTCAGAACCTTACAACAGCTGTTTAATATCAAGTCTGTTTACCACAGTATTTACTGATTTTCTAGTTCAGTCTTACCCAATGTAGCCCATGATTTCCTACTCATGAAACAAATGTACCACCTCAAAATACTCAAATACATGGTTTTGAAAACACTTGTTATAGTTCCTGATTTGCTTTCTGTCACAGATCCACACAATAAGACATTAAGAATTCTAAGTTACAGATAACGAATCGGGACTGAGAGTTATCGCCTGCAACAGCCTGGTCAGTTTGCCATCTCCCAAACTGACCAGGCTCATTCAAATTCTTTATCTTAGTAGCTCATGCTAATTCCTCTGGTCCAGCACTTTGGTATCTAACTATTACTCATTATTCATGAAGTATTGTAATACCTGAAGCCTTCCAAGAAGCAACCCTCAACTTTTTGATCCATACTGATCTCATCTGAAATGGCACCCAATGTCTTCAGTATCTGCCGCCTCATACTGTCTTACAGTTTTTCTAATTGACTCCACACATGGATCTGACTTCTCAGTGTGAAGTACTGTCAGAGTCACCCACAACAAAATACAGAGGTCTTTGTAGAAATAACGAGTTGTATTTGTTCAACTGAAGTAAAAGTGTTCCTATGTGAAATATATTTGTTTTCACCAAAATTCAAAACATGTCCATAACCTCTGCCCAAGAGTTTCTTAATAAGACAAAAACAAATGTAAGATGATACATTTTGTTTTCTAGGACAAATGCAAACAGTTACTCTTTCATGTTTATGGGTACGATGATTACTTGATGAGAAAACCATACTTAGCTACCCTGTCTAGTCGACAGTTCAACCAAGGCAGTTCAAAAACAGGAAATGAAAAAAACCTTCAGAAAACAAAATCTGTTCATGATATATACATTATAAATAGAAGACAATCAAATCTATACTAAATGCCTCAAACTTCTCACATAATTTTGATTATCTAGCTCTAAGCATTTAGATTAGAAATTAAAGAAAAACATTACAAACAGGCACACCAACACAAAAAAAAATGGCAGAGAGCAAGAAAAAATTTTAAATGGGAAAAGTAGTAAGGACCAAAATATGTGGGGTGTGTACGTGAGGGTGGAGGGAAAGCAAGTATCTCAATGCACACTCAGACATTACTGCTGAGGAGTTGCCTAAGAAAGCTGCTTTTAATGATATTGAGTCAGTGAGAAAATCAGCGTTAAACGCTATGCTTAGAAGATAAGATTCTTGAGCAGACAGCCAATATACCTTTAAAACACTGATGCTGAAAGTAGTAAAAGGATAACATGGCTACTTCAGCTGGTGAAGACCTGCTAAAACTGAGTGGTGGAGGTGTTCCTGTTTGGAGAACCCAAGTGTGACTAGTGCATACTCCTAAACCAGATCGTGGCCTACCTTCTGCTTGTCTCATGTAACACCGGCAATAACAGCCACTAGAGCCCCACTTTCTCCTTGTCTGCCTCCCCATCCTTTCATCCGCAGTCCTCTCTTGGAGACACTTAGAACAAAGATCTTATCTACGGAAGCCAACTACTCCCGGATTCTACATAGCAGCTGGCTTCACCATATTTCACTCCACTTACTTGACCATATGCCTAGTCAGCTTGTCCCTCGATACTCCTGAAATGTCTGACTGCTCCTGTGTGTGCCAGGCACAATTCTGGGTGTGGTAAACAATAGTGAACAAAACAAAGTTCCAGAACCCATCTTACATTCTAGTGGGGGAATATTTAATCAATCAGTGGGGGAATATTTAATCAATCAGTGGGGGAATATTTAATCAATCAGTAATTCCAGGTAGGAAGAAGAGAAGTACTGAGGGACGGAGGATGGCAGAAGAACCACATTTGAGAGGCACAAATTTAGGAGAAAGGTACACTTAACTGAGATACCTTAAAAACTGTCTTCAAACATGGCATAAACTGTGATAAGAGTCAAGTCAAAAAAAAAATATCATCCAACTGAATGTAGAGGGTGGAAAACGATATAATTAATAAAATGACACTTGTATGAGTTCAAAAGTTTCAGAGAGACCAAGTTGCATACTCATGTACTCTGTGCTTCTGTTACTAAATATGTTTAAAATTCTTGAATTGCAATTTTTCATCCATTCATATTTGAAAGCAAACTCTTATCAATTCCCCACTTCCTTAAGTATGCTAATCATTTTAATGAAAACCTTTTAAAAAATCCACATCTCTTTAGAAGTTCCCTCCATATCAAATGTTACCTCAAACCATTACCAAAAAGAATACAAATAAATGTGATATTATAGCTTACCCTACACAATCTATTTCTTTCGGATAACTGAGCAAACGAAGCACTTGCTCCAGGTTTCGTAAGCTTCTTTTTAAGTCACCTGTAGCCATCATTTCACATCACATTCAGCTCCAGCTTTTAAAATAATCTTTTCACCTAAACATAAAAATCCACGAAACACTGGGTAAGTCTATATAGTTTTTGTGTGTCTTTATCTACTTAGTGCATATCCTACAGGCACTTGCCATATTTATCTTCCCTCAACTTATCCCTTCCCTTTCCAACTATCTTGGATCTACTGCATGTTCTTGAACGTCAAGGGTGCTTTTTCCCCAGTGTTTTTTTCCACAACAAAAAATAAACTTGCCTTGTTTCTGTTCTTACAAATGACACCCACCCAAATATATTATTTTGAACAACAAAGTACCATTTGGGAAGTCACATCACTCCAATCCTAAGTAATCTCCCTCAATGACTCTTTTGGATGCTTTTATCAGTTACACTAAAATTAGTAATACACGGAGACAGAACACAATCATTATTGTGAGAACTCTGACCTCACATAGCTGCCAATTAGATATTCTTCTTAAAAACTAAAACTAAGCAAGTTTAAAAAACTCAGATTCAGCTGCTTAAATATGGCTGGTATTTAGTACATGCTACCTTCATGTCCTTTTGCAAACACCACTAACATGAAGCTAAATAGTTAACAGACAAATATATAATAAACAGGGAAAACAACCAAAAGGAACTCCAAATGACAAAATTTAGAATACAGAAAGCAGATAGGTGGGTGATAACAGCAACCTGATAGGGCAGAAAAAAAGGTCGTTATCCCACCTGCCTGTTCAGGAAAAAACAGCCCAACAGGTTCAGAATGAGGGGTGCTCAATACTTCTGACAAGACTGTGGGGTTAGGCCAGGCGGTTGAAATAAGAATGATTATTTGGAAAGTTATACATGGATGTGCTAAAGTCTAGATTTTTCACTTTCTCTACCCCCTAGCAAATATAACCTCTTCAGTTACGAAACCACTTCTCTGCTTCCCTTGGCTTGGCATTAAGTTTTTACATATCAAAGTATAGTTCATGTAACAGAAAATAAATTGGATTTCATTAAAACCCTCTGTTCCTGGGCCCTCCCTGGTGGCGCAGCGGGTTAAAGCACAGCACTAAGAAGCTAAAGCCACTTCAGCATGAGTTCTATCCCCACCTCGGAGGTGACTCACATGGTGCGGCAGACCTCTGCTGACCCACCCACTGCTCCCCTCAGCAGTGTACTTTATTGATCTGCCTATTCTGCTCCCCGCTCTATCTCCAGTGAATCCTCTCACCACCTCTGCACTTCTGGCCTGTACCCCAGTTCTGTATGCATAAATAAATAAATCTTTAAAAAAAAATCCCTGTTCCTCTGTAGACACTGGTAAGAGAATGAAAAGGCAGGCCACAGACTCAGAAAGAATACTGACAACACATATGGTGGATAAAGGCTTGTTGCCAAAAAACACAAAGAACTTAAATTCAGCAGAAAGAAAACAACCAAGCCAATTAAAAAATTTGCAAAATATCTGAAAACCAACCTCACCAAAGAGATACAGATGGCAAAGATGCACATAATAAAAGATGTTCCACAATATGACATTAGGTAATTGCAAACAATTATGACACTACTGTTACACACCTATAGTGACTAGAATCCCCCCAAAACCAAGCAATGCTACCAAACATTTATGAACAACAGGAATTCTCATTTATTGATCGTAGGAATGCAAATGGATTAGCCATTTCGCAAGACAGTCTGCTTAACTCTGACAATGCTAGACATAGTCTTAAGAGACAATCAGCAATTGTGCTGGTATTTACCCAACTGACTTGAAAATTTACATACATAGAAGATCCTACACAGATACTACTCAGATGTCTACAGCAGCTCTATTCATAATCATCGAAAACTAAAAGATGTCCCTCAAAAGGTGAATGAATGAAAACTGTGGTACATCCATACAATGGAATATTATTCAGGAATTAAAAGAATTAAAAGTGCTATAAGGTCATTTTTAAGACATGGATGGAAGGTAATGCACATTGCTAAATGAAAGGAAAAAGTTGTAAGTGCTACATATACAATTTTACTTACATCACATTCTGGAAAGGCAGAACTGTAGAGACAATAAAAATTATAAATATCAGTAGTTGTCTAGGTTTCTGAGGAGGAAAGAGAGGGTTTGAACAGGTAGCACAAGGGAAGTTCTTAGAGAAGTGAAATAATCTAACACTACAAGGCAGAAATATGACATCATGCATTTGTCAAAACATACAGAAGTGTACAGCACGGAGAGTGAACTGTGACTACACAAATTTTTAAGAAATCATTTAGGAAACAGGGCAGTGTTTGGGAAGAATGCAGACTGGGATGAGGAACCTGACTGTGGAGCAGTCTCGAAACTGGAGACAGGGGAAGATGGTGACTAAGTGACTGGGGAGCGAGCAGAGCCTGTCACGTGAAAAGCAAAACAGACTGTGCGGTGTGAACTAGACACTAATTCAGTGTGATAAACTAGACATTCAATGTCCAGTTTAATGTCCAGTTCACAAGGCTGCTACATCCCACATGCAAATGAGTTGATTCAGATACCTGTCTATGGAAATACTAAGCAAATAAATAGATGGCTGAATAGCAGGAGCTAAGTCTCTCACAGCTGGAGTGAGAGTCCACAGGTAAGAAAGGGCAGAAGCATAAATGACCAATATCTAAGACTGGTTAGTTAGAGACATCAGTATCAACTCATGGGTAGCTTAATATAATGTCATATTCAAATATTTATCCATATGTTTATATCTGCAGATATCTTAGAATACACACTTATAGTATGTTTGTATGTCAGCTGAAAGTAACTAAAAGCAATTATGCCCCAGCAGTAAGGAGCCCTCTAGCATCCAGACCTTGGTATGTATGTTATTCTCTGGCTAAAAAAAACTATGGTTTATTGGAGCTACAAACAATTCTAAGACCAAGACACACAATATACAAGAAGAATCTGAAGTACTGTGTAGCTCAAGAAGGTAAGAAAGGCCAAACGCAAAAACAAACCAATCACACAGTGATTCCACCAATGTAGAAGGGACACAGGAATCAAATGAAACAGCTCTGATGATCAAAGCTAAATAATTTAAACAACAAAGCTAATAAAGTAATATTGGATTATAACACAACAGCTAAGACAAAGAAAAAACCAATATAATTCAATAGATTGACGAAGGTGAAAAAAACTGTAGTCATTTGAATAAACACTTGATAAGATTCCACATTCATTCATATTTCTTAGAATATGAGGAATAGAAGGAAATGCTTGCAATGACAGAGATATCTGCAAAAAAATCTCATGTAAACACCATATTAATGGTGAAAAATAGCTGTCTCACTGAGGATAACAATGAGCCCAAACTATTTACTATCATTTCTAGTCAGCATGGTCCTTGAAGTCCTGGACAGCAAAAAAAAAAAAAACAAGAAATAAAAGGAATGGAAGCTAAAAAGGAATAAATTGTCATTTTCACAGTGACAAAACTGTACATGAAAATATCCAAAGAAAATAAGCAAGGCTGCTCTGGATAGAAGCCAATATACAAAATTTTTTTCTCTGTATTCTCAAAATTGTTACAAAAAACGTTTTAAAATTACATGTGTACAAATAATTCACTATAGCATCAATACATATCATAAATGTGAATAAACATAGAAACATAAAAGTCCTCAAAACAGAAACTAAAAGCTTTCCCGATTATTAAGGAAGTCCTAAGCTGAAGGAGGTACAGGAGATACACCTTTTGATCAAGGAATAGATGACTACATAAACTGACAACTTCAATGCAACCCTTTCCCCATCCACAAAAATCCCTGCAGGAGAATTTTTAGGAGAAAACTGACAAACTAATGGCAAAATTTATATAGAAATGAAAGAGATAAAGGATAACTAACATAATATTCAAGATAAAAATTGAAGGACTTCACTATAAGATATGAAGTCTCATTACCAAAGGAAATTTGGAAGTAGTGAAAAGAGATACATATAAAATATTGGAACAGAATAGAGGCTAGACACAGACGATGCATGTACTGACACTAGATTTATGACAAAGTGATGTTGAGTAGCTGTGAAGAATGAATGGTCTTTTTCTAGTGATACTGTGCCAATCTAATATCCAGATGGAATAAATCTATCTTAACCCCTTGATATAAGGGGGACATCACAGCCTTCACAAAATTAATTCCAGGTTTGTTGAAGAACTATATGTAAAATGGAAAGAAAGCAATTGGGCTTTCTGGAGATCACAGAAGAGAATCTCTTTATGATCTTCAGATAAAGAAAGGTATCTTAGGAGTGATAAACCACATTAAAATTAGGAACTTCTGTTCATCAAAAGGCACCTTTAAGAGAATAGAATGATAAGTCATTGAGCAGAAGATGATGCTGCAATACATATTACTCACAAAAAGATTCACATCTAAGATACTGCCTACAAAGCTGCCAGAAAACAGAGATCTATCTGAACAGGAAATTAACAAAAAAGTAAACTGTAGTAAAAGTAATTAGAAATGTGACTACAGAGCAAAACACCCAGAGCACTGAAAGCGTAAACTATTACAATTCAGGAGTTTTACTGGTCACCTGTACTAAAGCTGACACACACAGAGCCCATGAATCAGGAATATGAATCAAAAAAATACATAATGCAAAAATATATATATAGATACATAAAATAAATGAACAGGACTTGAGATTCCAAGTACAGTGCTTAAATTATTTAAAATCTCAAAGAATATAATACCATGGAAATACATATATATATATTTTTTTTTTTTTAAGATTTTATTTATTCATACAGAACTGGGATACAGGCCAGAGATGCGGAGGGTGAGAGGATTCACCAGAGACAGAGTGGGGAGCAGAACAGGCAGATGACGAAGCACACTGCTGAGGGGAGCAGCGGGCGGGTCAGGAGAGGTCTGCCACACCATGTGGACTCCTCCGGGGCAGGAGGGAATCGAACTCATGCGGAAGCGGCTTTAGCTTCTCAGCGCTGTGCTTTAACCCGCTGCGCCACCAGGGAGGGCCCGGAATTATATTTTAATGACTCATGTTATAGCATATAGGACTTTCATTAAATTCTCAAATAATGGTATTCCCAAAGGAGGTTCATAAAATAAACAAACAGAAAGATAGTTAAAATCATTTGCCAGAAGGAGATAAAAGACGTCTGTGTTATAAATCTAGTCAACCAAAATGGAAAAGCTCAACAATACCCTTAAAAACATCTCCTTGTAATTGTTCATGGACACTTCATAAAAGAAAATATATATAAATACCTTAAATAATGGATCCTCTGGGAATGAAGTTTCTTTGAAATGAGGTCACTGTCATTAAAAATAAAATGGCACATTTTAGAAATCAGATGAAGTTAGTCAGGACTCTTCCCACCAGTCAAATGCCAGCAGTTGCCCAGACTCCTCACATACCTCTGTAGTGACATGTAACCGGAGGTGAATAAGGCTTGCAATTTGCAAAATCCCAAACTTACTAAGCTTTCTGTGTTAAGGTCCCAGCCATGGAATTCCATATGCCCCTCCTCTCTTTAGGAACACAGTGCTATCCTATTCCAAGTCTCCTACCCTTCATCAACATGATAAAGAAAACTTACTCTCTTGTGCATGACCTTAGTATTTCTCAGTCAACTAATGTCTACTAAATATTTACATTTTTAGGCAGAGACAACTTTAGGTACTATTAAATGGGATACAGAAAAAGACAACAGTACCCTGAAATCACATTCTACAAAATAAAGGGCAAGCAATATTTTATTTAGCATCTCTTTTAGGATGACTTAGGGGTAAATGAGCAAATGGCTTCAGTAAGACTCTTTCCAAGAACAGCCTTCAATTTCCTGGGAAAGATGAAATAGTAACTAATTTGGCTGTAATTGAAAAAAATTTACTGTTGGGCTAACACAGTAAGTCTATGCATGTTCTATGTTCAAAACCCACAATTCTTGAAGTTCCTTCCACACCCAAATCTTTCTATAACTTTAAAATAAATTGTCTCTCCCCCAGACTTTAACTTCATCCAGATGAAGAGCCCATATTTTCAGTACATGTAATTTTACTTCATTTAACATTTTGTGATATCTTCCCATCTTCTTTAAATCCTGAAATATATATATCAATGTCACATATCATTTCTACCTCTGATAATGGAATTTCTGACAACAATGTATGTCCCTGGAACACATCCTCTTCAGCAGAATAAATATTTTTGAAGAAGAGTAAGATACAAGTACAGCTTGATCTGCAGGTGAAGGAGGTAAGTGATAAAAAAAAAAAGGCCAGAAAATAAAGGAATAAAAAAAGGAATAAATGATACTTAGAGACGAAAAACTGGTTCACTTTTCAACATTATAATCTTTATCAAAGCAAATTAAGAGGAATTCATTACGCATCAAAGTAAATTAAACGGAGCAACAGATATTCCAACCATTAAGATGGTGTCAATATTGCTTCCAGGTTTCCTCCAGAGAGTGCTCTGTCCAACTTAATTTATTAGGGGAGGCGTGGTGAAAACGCTGTACCCTAGCGGCTTAATACTTTTAATCCAGCTAAGTCGCATTGCTGTTGGATATCATGAAAAGATCCTCCCAAGGGAATGCCATGGCCGCATGTTCAGAATGAAGCACTTACAGTCAAGGCAACGATTAAGGTGGATGCCTAATGTACCACATGGTTCACAACAATAGATATTATCTAAACCGGGCATCAAAAATAAAAAGGAGCAGAGTGATTTGGAAAATTAAGTCTCCGAAACGTCCCGCAAGAAAGAATACGGAAATCCACTGTAAAAAATAGGGAGAAAGGTCTCCGAAAGGGGAAACTTGAGAAAATGGGAGTAGACGAAGAGGAGGGAGAAAGGGGAAATGCAGAACTCAGGGAAGCGGCTGTGTTCACATATAAATGGATAATTTTAGGGGGAAAAGTATTATTTCCATAATTCCAGAGTCAATTTCGAGGTCAATTTTTTCCGCAAGGAGGGAAATAGCTGTAGTCCTCTAGGATGGTGGAGACATATTTGAAACACCAAAAAAATCCAAACACGGTAAACACGAACTATTTTTCATTTCTTCCTTGTAGACGATATTTCAGAAAAGCGGATCGTTCCACGGATCCAACAGGAGGAATCAGCCCATAAACTTTACAGCTTTAAGTCACAAGCGAATAGGAGAGGAGCTGTCAGGATCCTTCCTACTTCGCGAATTGTTACCAAGAGGATGAATGGCCTGGGTGTGTGGGGAAGCTAAGGAGGGCTCCTCTCTCCACCTGATTTTAAAGGTGAAATGTCCAACCTGGTCATTCGGCCGCCAGGGCCCGGCGTCCGGACAGCAGAGAGAGGGGGCGGCAGTCCAACCCGGGGCGCAGCCCCGCCCGCTCTCCCGGGCTCACCCCGCAGGCGCCGAGCCCAAAGAAGCGCGTTCCGAAAGCCTCCGGGAATGCACGACAGGGAATGGGTGGGGGGCAGCACTTGCAAGCCCCGGGGAAACCCACGATCCCAGGCGGCAGCACCAGGTCCCAGCAGCAGACGCTCGCGCCTAGCTAGCTTCTCGCGCCGACCGTTTGTATTTGCAACGGGGGTCGAAGCCCGCGACGCACCGCGGCAAACCCTGCAGAGCTGCCGGCGGCCCAGCGTCCTGCGATTCGTCGCGGCAGATTCGACACTCCGTCTGTCCGGACCGCTGAGGAGTCGGACTCTGCCCACAACCTTTCTCTGAGGCTGGTCGGATCGTGAGCATCAGGTTAGAAGTGGGGCGGGTTTTGATGCCCCGAGAACCTTGGGCTGCTAACTGAGAAACAGAACTTTTGTAGCGAATCGGAAACAGCGGGAACAAAAATGCTTTTTCTTTAAGGCTCAAAGCTGAACGTCACTTCCGGCAACAATAGGAAACGTCAAAAGTCCGACGGTCGGCGGCTCCGGCTGCTGCGCTGGAGGTCTGGAGGTGCTGGGTTCGCCGGGATTTGGAGCTGTGTCTGGCGGCCTCAGCTCGGTCCCCTCCGCGGCTTGGACGAGTGGAGTCGGAACCGGCTTCTCCATGGCCTGGGCTCCAGTTCCCGGCTGAACCGCTGTCCTGTCGGCTGAGAGCCCCCACCCAGAGGCCGAATCGTCGCGGCGGCGGTGGGGATCGCAGGTCGCTCAGGTACCAGCGTCCGCCTAGCTACTTCAGAGCTTTTGCCTCTTTTCCCTGTACCCCGCTCCCCACGTCTCCCTTCGGAAATAAAGATAAACTGTGCTCGCCAGTTGGCAGAAACTTGCCAACCAGCAAGACTTGGGGACCAATGGCAGCGCGCAGCATCTTGAGTGAAAGCGGTGAAGGCTCATTGTAGGAAGGCGGTGTCTGGAGGCGGGAGTAGGTGTGTTCCTGGTGTTTCCAGGCCATTAGGGTATAGGTAAGCTTGGAACCCCAGTATCACCTGGCTGCCTTCAGAAATCAAGCTCAGAAAAGGCAGGGATTACTCTCTATTGGCCGAGTGTTGCTCTTGGTTCCAATGTCATTTTGGTGCATAGGCATGGATTTCGGTTCTTTCCATACTTTCCAATAATAAAAATGCAAACAGTTAAGGTCACGGTGAATCGCCAGTTGATTTAACGTCCAACTTTGGTTATAAGACTGGCAAACTCTTGATCTGTTGTGTCTTGTCTCACTGTAACAGGATTTTAGTTTCTCTCCTGGTGGGAACTCCATTAAATGTCACTGATTGGATAAAATCGCATAGTGAATCCCAACCCTCAATCTTTGATTTTTTTTTTTTAGTTTTTTTTTCAGATTTTGTATTTGTTTAAATAAGTTAATAATTGAGTCGGGTTGTTAAATGAATTTTTATTTTCAAGGAACCTGGTTGCTTATATCTTCACGTGTAAAGTGAAATTAATCTTTTTAATACATTTCAGCTCTCCTTCTTTGACTGTCTGGAGTTTGGTATCCCTATTTCTGAGAGAAATGTTTCACAAAATGTTTTACAAAATGGAGCAAATCTCAAAACGACGAATTTTTTTTTGTTTTTCAGTTTGTATTGGAAACTTCCGAATAGCTAATTGACAGCTTGATGAAATACTGTATTTGTTATATGTTGTTGAGTAACACATTACCTTAAGATTTAGCAACTTAAAAGAGCAAGCATTTATTATTTCATATTTTCTGTGTCCAGAAGTTTGGGTACAGCATAGCAGAGTACCTTTCTTTGCCTCTGTTTTTCTTGGGGTTGTAGTCCAGCTATCATTGGAGGCTCTGATCTCATATGAGGGTTATTACACTGAAGAAGAGGATCTACTTCAAGTGCACTCACGTGCTTGTGGCAGCCCTGGTTTTCCAACACATGAGCTTCTCAGCAGACCTACCCCACAGTGTGGTAGCTGACTTTTTTAGAGTGAACAACCTAACAGAAACCAAGATATCTCAGAAGTGATATCCCTTACTACTGTGATGTTTTGTTTGTTCCAAGTGATCAATAAATCCAACCCCAAATCTATAGGAAGAGGACTACATAGTTTGGGTCTCAAGCCTTAAGGATCTTAGGGGGTCATCTTAGAGGCCACTGAGCACATGTAACCATGACTGATATTTTTTGGGAGTTATTACACAGGGATAAATGAGGAAAAAATGTGTCCAAAAGAAATGCAGCAGATTGGGAAATAACAGAGTGTGAAGAATTAAGCCAATTTATACCAGCATTCTTTTTTGGAAAATTATTTTTTTACTCCGCCCTGCCATGATCTGAAGGGAGGTCTGTTATTATGTTTCTTGGGAAACTCTGCCTGAGATTATGGATATGTTAATATATATATGGTATAGGGTCTACATGAGGAAAGGGTATCACACCTGGAGATTTGTACATGCCTTACCTGTCACCACTTGTCTGGTGGAAATGAAATTAGAGCAAACATAACTGCAAGAATGCAAATTAATAGCAGCATTTGTGTTGGCATGAGATCAAATAGAGATGGGAGAAGAATGTTGTAGAATAGAAATGTGTCTTTTTTTTTGTCAGTTTTAAGCATTATTAGGTGTCAGGTTCCAGCCTTTAACATAACCTATAGTCCATCAGAGAGCCATATTAGCTTACTGGACATTAAAGATAGGGCCTTAGGGTTTGTTCTAATACTGTTTGGCTGTAACCCATGGCATCTTCCAAGATGGAAAGATGCTATACAACCTTTACTAATGAAATGTTATTCAGGTTTATTAGGTGCTTAAAGGCACTAGCCTGAATGTGTCAATTCTCAAATGATAAATGTGACTTTAGAGTTGGATCTCCCTATCTGGTTAGCATACTTAATTTATAATGGGTAACAGCCAATTAAATAAAGTAATTTCAAGCCTTTAGATTGCTGCAACATTTTATTTATATGGGTGCTTGAGAAAAGATCACAGTTGAAATACTTTCATTGATGGACTATTTTATGGTAATAACCTCCCAGATAATCCAAAACCTGATTTCTGATTTATACTCTATGATAAGTTTAATAAGGGAATATTTTGTATGCTTCACAATAGATATTTTTAAAAGTCATTTTCTTTATTTCATAATATAAAAGACAATTGGATTACCAAGAGATTATCTCTTCTTTGGTCATATTGCATTGAAATGAGTCTTTCAGATTTATGGTTTTATTGCTCATATTTAGCCAACTGCTATGAAACAACTCTTTTTTCCCCTCTATATCTGGATTCATACTTGGAGGTGGAGGCTAAGCCCTTAACTGGCCGTTTAACACATTAACAGTGAAGATTTTAACGTATTTCACTTTTTTTGTTGAGTTATTTTTAAACAATTTTAGTGAGATAATCTTTTAGGAATGTGTATCCTCTGTTTTTTCCTGGCAAGTACATTGTCATAAATTCTGCAGTAAAAAAGCGTAAGTGTCCCAAATTAAATAAGTTTGCATCATATTTGGGGCAAATGTTTAGTTAAAAGGAGATATTTCTTGTGCTTAGGCAGCAGGCTTACAGAATGTGATAAGCAGTCAAATAAATTATTCAGTGTTTGTTTTAACGAATGGAATTTTTATTTTCAAGTGTCCTAAGTCTTCCTCTCCAAATCTTTCTTCAGAATAGATAGCATAGAATTTCATAAACTACTTGAGTGAGATGTAGCGATTCATTCTGGGAGATCCTGTCTCTCACTACTTGGATTAGGGGGGAAAGAGAAGCAGGAGTTTAGGTGCAACATATCCACACACACACATCCACCACAGTCTCTTCATTTTATTTACTTACTAATTAGGATTCTTCCTCATTTTTGTTTTATTCTATTTAATCAACGAATTTTATAGTTAAAAGAGAACTTAGGGATCATCAGGTTCTAAATGCTTGTTTGCCAGGTGAGGAAACTGAACATTTGAAATTTAAGTGACTTGCCCCATAACGTTGACTAATATCATTTCACTCAACATCATTTCATTATAATGTTGCTGAGGAAAAAATAGCTGTTCTTGGATGGGACTGCTGACTGTGGGTGCACACAGTCACTCCATGTCTGGGGTGTCTCACTAAGTCTCCACTTCCTCCCCATATTAGTTTCACTGCCGTGGCAGTTGTCCTAGTGTGTGCTCTGCACTAGACTGCTGACCCATCAGGGACGGTCCCCACCCTCTGCCTGAGTTTCAGGGACAAGCTTTAGCCACTCATGATGCTGAACTGGAACAACGAGTTGGAGAATGGATGAATGAATACAGATTATTGTTGACTATTAGAATTATTTGGGGCCTCTAGTTAATAGCTTGGTGATGTTTATGTGACCAGAAATGTTCCATGGAAATGTAATTTTTGTTTAAATCAATTAGCCTGTGGTAAAATTGGTGAGCTATTTAACATAAAATCACTGTTTCCAAGAACTAGCCATGATGTTAAATGAGGACTCACTATCCTCCCAACTAGTTAAAGGAGGCTCTTGCATCAATGTCTTCATTATTAGATGTTTTCTTCTATTTTATCTCCAATTTTGGATTGTCCTCAGCATTTCTTACCTATTTTTAACACCTTATGTTATTTTCACAAAAGCAGTTCCCTGAGGATCATAGGCAGATGTTTTGTTTTGTTTTGTTTTGTTTTTTAATTCCACACATCTCCTAGGAATGGCTGTTGTGGCTAGTGGGCCTGGAGTGAGGCGTGCCCAGCTGAGGTGGGTGGGGGCGAGCTGGTTTGGCAGCTGCTGAGTACAGCTGGGTTGAGTAAGCAGTGCGTTTCACTAAGAGCCTGGGTACTTCCAGACAATGCTGATGAGAAATGTATTTAAAAATTAAAATAATTAGGCATATAATTAGAATATTTCTTTTAAAATAAGCCTGAAATTCTCAATTTTTGGTCACATTTCAATGATACCTTCATTTTTACATTTGTTTAGATGTTTGGTAATACTCACTGTAAAATCAAAAGAACAGGGGAAAACCCTTCAGAAAACCAAGTAATATTGTAAATCTTAAATTTAAAATAACTACAAAAGGTATCCTTTTTAACAACAAAAACTGTTCTTGCAGCCCCCGATCTTTAAATTTAATGAGTGGGGTTTTTTTGTCGTTTGGTTTTTTATGTGCTAAATGTAGCTTGTGACTCTTAGTCCTTAGCCGTTTCCTTTTGTTCCTCAGAAAGGCCTCCTGGTGCACTTTCCGAACTTTATTTCTCTACAGTTTGTTGCCTCTCAGTTTTAGGGGTGTAATTTGTTATCAGGTTCTTTTTCCTTTTTTTCCACTCAGTCTCTTCTACTTTGGTGGTCTGTTCTTTAGAAGTAGAGAAATAAATGCTGGGCTGTCACTTTGATTTCAAGTGTCTCAAAAATATTTTCTCACAGATTCTCCCTGTTCTTATGCCATTGAATAATATTACATGAAATCACTTAAAGGTTTTTACAGCTAAAATAGCCAAAACTCTAGTTATTACTCTTTACTTAAAAAAATTTGAAAACTTCTAAAAAATTAAAACAAGTGAACTGCCTCATCTTTCAGTCTTTATGAATTAGCAAACCATTTTAGAGATTACTCTTTAAATTCACATTTTAGACCTGTGTATCTGAGATAGGAAATTTCTTATTTCACTCTACAGATATATTAAAGTGAGATTACTCATATACCATCATCACATAGTGATTTACCACTGTTTGCCCAGAAATACACATAATTGATTTGCTTCCCAAAAAAAGCACA